CCCAAGCACCTGAGTTGGAACCTCATTTTGAGAAGTTGACCTGAGGACTCCTGTTGAGTGAAAGCAAGAGCAGAACTGACCTTTATGTCAGAGTCAAACATAGATCCTCCCCTGGGAAAACAATTCAAATACACAGGTGGTTGCATGAGCATGAAAACATGCTAAGGGAGGGCCACCTCTCTTTTGAGCAAAGTGTCTTTATTTTCTGTTCTATAAAACAAAGAGAAACTGGGGGGGGGGTCTTGAAAGGTAGAAGGTAGAATTTTTTTTTTATTTTTGGGTCACACCCAGCAATGACTTTGCACTCAAGAATTGCCCCTGGCAGTGCTTGGGGGACCATATGAGATGCTGGGAATTGAACCCGGGTTGGCTGCGTGCAAGGCAATCACCCTATCCATGGTGCTATCGCTCCAGCTCCAAGTAGAGGGTAGAATTGAACTTATTTTAAAGTCTTATTATGGAATGATTGAGTTTTGTTGCTTACCTCTTATGAATAATCAATTTTTGAATCAGCAGATTTTTATCTATGTAAAATGTGTTCAGGTCAACCTCAGAAAGCCTCTGACCACTGTGCAGCATCTGTATCTCCAACATTCCCAGTGTAAGATAGTTCCGGGTCTATTTACAACAGTCCTGGAGGTCACCGATTCTCTGCTACCTGTTGATATCAAGTTACGTTTCATATTGTTAGAACCAACTATTAGAAACTGCCTTTTCCTGGACCTAGTAAATTGAATTCATAACGTTTAGGTGCCAAGAGCTCAACATAGAAAATCTCATCTGCCTCTTAGTAACGGGAGCTTCCTAATCTTGCGAAGATAAACCTAGAAGAAATATTTTCCTGCTTTTGTCCTCATAATACAGCAAATGGAGTTCTGCTCCTTTTTTGGTCACGCCATCCCTGGGTGGCTGTGCCACTGGACTGTGAGTGCCCCTAGTGTTCTCGGGGCTCAGTGTCTCTGCTTGCAGGAGAATCACCTACAAGAAAATGCCAGATTCTCAGCCAATGAGCTGAAATTGAATCCTGAGTCCTTCTTCCTCTGCAGTCAGAGCAGGGAGGGCTGAGGGTGAGGAGAACCGTGAAGCTCCCGTGCCCTGAGGTGCCTGTGAGGCAGACTCTGCTCCAAGGTGCTTCCAAGGGTGTGAAGCATCAGCTCAGGCTCAAGCACCAGCTCACAGAAACACACAGGCTGGACCTCACACCACACACATGGGATTCTCACACTCTGGGAGGTTGGAGGGTGAAGGTCAAGGTCCTACAAAGTTCCTTCACAGACTCTCCTCCTGTCAGCAGGTGCCCCTCCCTCCCCTTGTCCTCACAGGCCTCTGCTGGTGGGCGCCTGAGAGGACAGAGGGGTTTTCCCATGGCGTCTCTAGACTCCCATCTAATCACCCTTCCTGTGTCCTCATTTCACATTAAGTGGTGGTTTTTCATTCATCACTTAATCACTTAAGTGATGATCACTTAATCCCCGTTATTCATCGATTTATTCGAGCGGGTGCCAGTAACGTCTCCATTCATCCCGGTTGCGTGCTAGCGTAGCCCAATGGTATCTGTTCGTTTTAGGAACATGTAGAGCCTCAAACCGATCATTTAGGGTCTTGACGAAGAAGTCTGACCATCTTATAGGTGGGCGTCCACGTGATCTTTTGATGTCTCGTGGAATCCAATCAGTAATGGCTCTAGTCCAGCGGTTGTCTGTAAACCTCATTACATGTCCAGCCCATCTGATTTTTGATGTCTTGGCAAATGAGACAGCGTCTCTGATTCTTGAGCGTTGACGAAGATCAGAACTCCGGATTCTATCTCTCATTTGAGTGAATCGTGATATTCCAAGCATAGTTCTTTCGATTCCTCTTTGAGAGACCCGAATAGTGTTCTCATCCTGTTTTCGTAGGGTCCAGGTCTCTGAGGCATATGTTAATGCAGGAAGAATAGTGGAATCAAAGAGATGTGCTCGTAGTTGGAGGTTCTTTGTCCTTTTAGTTATTTCTTCAATGCTCTTGAAGGCATTCCAAGCCGCTCTCTTCCTCCTGCGTAACTCAGGTGCCAGGTCATTCATCATGTTGATTTCTCGACCTAAGTATATATAACTGTTGCATTCGGAGATGGTGGTTCCGTTGAGAGTGAATGGAGCGTCAGGAACAAGGCTGTTTCTCATAAACATTGTCTTCGTAAGATTCAGCTGTAGTCCAACCTTTCCACACTCACGGTCAAAGTCCGCAAGCATTTGTGCCGCTTGGCTGATGTTTGGTGTTATTAAAACGATGTCATCAGCAAAGCGGAGGTGGTGTAGTTGCCGACCATCTATCTTCACTCCCATGTTTTCCCATTCTAGTCGTCGCATGATGTTCTCGAGGGTGGCACTGAAGAGTTTTGGTGAAATGGTATCACCCTGCCGAACCCCTCTCTTGATATGGATGATTACTTCTTTGTAGAATGGTGAGATCTTGGTAGTGAATCCGCAATAGAGCTCACGAAGGATCCTGATGTATTGAGTTTGTACGCCCTGATTGGCTAGGGCTTCCATGACTGCTTCCGTCTCAACAGAATCAAAGGCCTTCTTTAAATCAATGAACGTTAGACAGAGCGGCATCTTGAACTCCCGAGATACCTCAATGAGCTTGGTTATTGTGTGGATATGGTCGATGGTACTGAATCCTTTTCGGAATCCAGCTTGTTCACATGGTTGTCCTTCATCTAGTGTTCTGCTAATCCTATTCATTCATGTCTACAAATAATCACAGTGTATTTATTCAAAATGTGCATTGGTGGGGCAGAGTTAAGCTCCAATATTCCCTCTTGGTAGCACTCATATTGTCTGTAGCAGACAGGTAGTACACACTTTCTGTTCACACGGCAGAAATCAGATAATATTTTATCTAAAACTCAGCCATTGACAGTCATTTCAATACTTTCCCATCATAGTAACGGTACCCCCGCCCCCATGAACAGAGAGAGTGACTGTTCCTGACCTAGCGCTTCCAAGATCCAGGCCCTTGCACTAGTCTGTAACGGGTCTGTCTGCCACCTAGTGACTATATGTGAAAGGGCAACTTCAAAAGTTTCAGATGCTGGTCCCAGGAATCCTGAGAGGGACTTCAGCTGTCTTTGCAACATTCTGTATACCATTTGTCATCAGACCAGACTCTAATTCAAACTTATAAATAAAAGGTTCACCTCCTTGATGAACTGATAAACTACTTGAGGAGAAAATACTCATAAGTAATTAGGAATTCAGAACAGATGTGTGTCCCCAGGAGGTAAGGGCCAGGTACTAGGATCCTCATGAGACACCATGGATGTCATTTCAGAAAGAATTTCAGGAGCATCAGGAATGTGCAGATGAAATGACACATGAGCAGTGGGGGAGTTCAGGAAGCAGAGAGTTCCTGACTCCTTGGGTAGACTTGTCATCCCATCTCCATGCTGCCTTCCAGAAGGCTTCAGACCAGCTTAGAGTTCCACAGCTACTGCACAGGAAGTTCTGGGGCCAACAACCTATGGGCCACGACTGGTTGTGTCTGTCCTCATCACTAGGAGTGAACCACTGTGATGAAGTGCCCAATAGCGCTTTTTGTTGTCATTGGTGGTGATGCTAGGTCTCAAGTTCTGGGTCTAAGATATTAATTATACTTTAGTCTGAATCATTAAATTATGTTTGGGCATATTATTATGATGTTTTACACAGTATGTTCTGCCAACATGACCAGAACAAAAGATTATAATATTATTCATATTCGCTATCAGAACTTTGATACATACATCAATGTGGATGATATATGCAGCAGATTGTGGAAATTCCTCAGGTTTCTGCTGCTTTTTGACAGTTATGAATATGATATGGATCATAGGCACATTCACAGAATGGTCATGTTTTCTTTCTCAGAGGAACACAGAGTTCAGGGCTCTGAGAAGTCAGAGACCAGTGGCCAGGAAGTAACAAGTATCTGGCTGAGGTACATCTCCACAGAGGCTGGTACCAGAATTTCAAAGACTCTGAACATGGATTTAAGAGAGAGAACCAAAAAATGGAATGTAGATCTGGACTTCGTTCTATTGAGAAGTGGTCAAAGTTTGATTTATAGATGTCAAAACATACTAAACGTTCCCATTTTAGAAAATTAAGCCTAAAAAGATTCAACATTTTTGTAAAATGTTTTATATTGATCTACTACTGTGTAAAATATAAAACTAACAAGGACTTCTGAATAATGACTTTCAGATACTCATTATTACTCTGACAGTTTCAAGAGTCTTACAAGCAGGAAGCACAGTCACTGTGATCAATTGTATATTCCCTCTAAGGGACAGCCAATAAGATATTGGGCTAACCTGGGTAGATGAAATTTTTCTCTTCCGATGATTTCTCATTTGCCTTCAATTTCTCTATAACTTTCATTATCAGACACTGAATCTAAACTTCCCTTCACATTCAAATGGTAATGAATACAAAATGCCACGTTCCCATCAATCTAATGTTGGGGTTTTTTTCAGTGACAGATACGGCCCAGATCTCGCAGTCACAGGAGCAGATCTAAGCAGCTGCCCAAGTCTGCAGTTGCTGAGCCCTGGCAACATGCAGTTTCTCCCTCTGGCTCACAGGAGAATGTTCCTAGGCAGGGCAAGCAGGCACTCTGTGGGATGCACTCGGTGTGAAGCTATAGGTGTGTACCTATCACAATACTTTGGGGTGATAATATGGTTCTTTATTATATTAAAAACCCTATTGAAACAATGGTTGATGGAATTTCTAGAGTGACATTTTGTCACATAGGAACTCTGATGGATACTGCACCCACATCCCTTAGAAAAGATCATCTCCATAACTAAATCAGCAGATCTATAGTGACATCATTAAGGAGAGAGTCGAAAAGACTGGATATGTCCCTTAACTTCCATTTCGTCACAGCTTGACTGCATCTGACGCTCTCAGCAAGGGAGACACCAGGACAAGCAGCTGGGCCAACCGATCCTCACACAGCTGATCTCTGGGGGTTTATGTTCTGGCGTGTATCACTGTGGGAGGGTAATTATTATACTGCTGACAGTAATAAGTGGCAGCATCATCAGACTTCAGGCTGTTGATAGTGAGAGTGAAATCTGTCCCATATCCACTGCCACTGAAGCTTGAAGGGACATCTTGTCCTAAACTGTTTGCCTCATAGATGAGGAGCCTGGGAGCTTTCCCTGGTTTCTTCTGATACCAGGCTAAATCATTGGTAATGCTCTGACTGGCCTTGCAGGTGATGGTGACTTTCTCTCCCAGAGATGCAGACATGGATGGAGGCTGGCTCATCTGGATATCACACCTGGATCCTGAGGTTGAGGATATAAACACACATCATCATCACCATTCATTGTACTTTAAGTTATTTTCCCTAGAGTCCAAGCAGCAATAGGTCCAGTAAAGACTCCTTTCCTTCCTTACCTGGGAGCCAGAGCAGCAGGAAGCTGAGGAGCTGTACAGGAGCCCTCATGTCCACTCTGGGTGTGACAGACACTGACCCTGCAGGGTGACACAGACTATTATTGAGTGTCCAGGCATGAGCTCTGAGCACTTGCAAATGAGAGGGGGCTGGGCAGGCAGGGCAGGCAGAGGGGGGAGGGTGTGTGTGGGGACCAGCCCAGGTGCAGGGAGGTCAGGGGTGCAGGTCCCTGTGGGGAAACAGAACTTTGCCCACAGAGAACATGCTTCTTCCCGGGCCCCAGGAGGGCCCCAGTGTGAGCACAGAATGATGGAGCCCTGGTCTCCTGAGAGTCAGAACACAGCTTCTTGCTCTCTCTGCCCCAGGGACAGGCTCTGTCAGACCACACTGTCACAGATACTCTCTGGAATTTGACAGAATCCTTTAAATCACACCTGTGGGTATAATTGAGGCATGAAAATTTCCTTTTTTCTCTGCAATCCCAAGATATTTTACTACCTTTTGGATAGAATTAAAATTTTATGCATTTACTTTTCTTTGGTGTGTGTGTGTAGTTAAGGAGACTCTAATTCAGTGCTCAGAGTACCTGAGTGTCACTCTGAGCATGATTCCCCCTTCCACGGCCCATGGAAGCAGTTCTCTGGAACTGTTAAAACTTTTCTTGAAGGTTCTCTGGGTCATGTGGGCCCTGAGATCAAATGTGGCCCCAGCACACACTTTACCAAGATGTCAGTTTTCCTCAACAATCACTGGTGTTCGTTTGTGTGACAGATTGTTATAATCAGCACACAGAAATGCAATGAACAAATAGAATTCAGGAAAAGTTTTGTCTTGATTCTTAAATTAGTTCTAAGGTAGAGAATTATCTGACAGACCAACTCATTCTCCTTTTATCCCTCCTTCCTTCACCTGAGGTACTATCCCACTACTTTCACCTCAGCCTAGGACAAGGGATTTTCTCTCCTCTTCTTCAAACACTTGTTCCCTTTCCAGGTCTATTTCATAACACAGACCTGACAATTCCTTGACCTCTTTCCTTTCTCTTCCCCTGAGCTGGCCAGTTGAAAATGTGTTCAGATGGAGTAGCTGTCCCCCTGTCATGTTGCTATCAGAGACCCTAAGACCATAATCCAACTTGACTGACTTCTCATTGAATGCCCTTTGTCCCTTCCCTGGTGTATCTGGTGCTCACAAATCTCTTGTCCCCTCTAAGACACAGCGGATCTGAGACCAGAAGAAAGACTTAGTGTCTTGACAAGATTGATGTGATAACACTCTGGATGGCAAATGAGAACATCCTCACAGTGATTTGGATTCACAGAAACTAGATGAACTCCTCTGTGGGGTTCAAGGTGCCACATGAGGTGATGCAATCAGTGTTGAGTGAACATAGAATTCACAAAGAGAACTACCACTTTGGTTGGGGCAGAGATTCATGCTGGGGGAGTCAGAATCTGGGTTCCTAAGGGTGCCATACCACCACCCCATCAACATCACTGTTCTTTCACTGTAGAGGCTGTCCCTGGAACTGCAAACCCTGCTCTCCATGCAAAGTCCTATGGTCTCCCATCACTGAATTAAGCACCAAACAGAATAAACCAGCCCCTCATGAACCACTAGCCCAGCAGGACATACACATGCCAAAGGACTGAGAATCCTGGGAAGGGTCTGGAATGTTTCTCAGGAAGCCAAGATCCCAGGGGAGCCCTGCAGTGATCATGGAGTCTAGAGGAGACAGTTTCCTCTCCAGTGGTCATCTTGTGACTGGGACCTCCCTGAGTTCTTCTGTCAGACAGAAGCAGCAACCAGGGCTCCCCTTGTGCAGGGCCCAGGACAGGACCCTTCAGGGACATTTGCTGCCTCACACCTGACTGAGCAGGAGAGATCTCCCACTTCTGCTGCCATTGCTCTTCATGCAGCAGTATCCTGCTCCAAATGGGCCTCATCTGCCCTCCTGACGTAGCTTCAAACCAATCTCTACTAACTTAGTGCTCCTTCCACCAAACTAATCTAAAATACCCCGTCAGGTATTCATGGAAATGGATCAGAACTGGGATCATCAGTGGGAAGGAGGTAAGAGAAACCAGGGCTCCAAATCTGCAGGTACTATTGCCTGTGTGACACAGGATGATCTAGTCTGTGAGTTCAAAAGAGAAGACATAAAATCCATATGCTTTAGGCTGAATCAGGGAGGCAGAAGTGTTGTGGTGGGGCTGTGTGTGGAGGAGAGGAGGAAGGAAAAAGAGTGAGGTTTCAGAGCTGTGCCCCTGTCATGTTGCTGTCAGAGACCCCAAGACCACAGATGCCTGAGAAGCGAAGCAGCGGGTGAGGGGTTAGTGCCCAGGGTCGATGCCTGTGATACTGAGCACTATCCTGGGGTTGCTGAGAGAGCCATTTGTCTGCACTCACCATCCCAACCCTGATAGAGTACCAGATAGAAATGTAAACCAACCATAAACAGGGAGAAAATTCTGACGTTATTCTTATTATTTGATATTTATGTGTCTGACCGTGGTGAGGAAGTTGCTGCCCAGAGCTTGGATTATTGGAACCTCTGGGCAATCCTTGGCCAGATGAGCCAACTGGTCCCATGTAAGAGTTGAGGATCTGAAAATTTTTGTTGCTTATGGTATTGGGACCACCAGTGTAGCCCCTGCCAATGCCTGTGTCTAACAAGGTCAGCCAAGTAGTGCTCAGAGACCTCCAGGAATTCCCCACTGATACAAGGAGAAGTTGTGGCTTGTGAGATCACATGGGTGGTTTGAGGCATAAACCTAAACCCGTGTTTGTGGTTTGGGCTGATCTCAGGATGAGATGCTCCTCACACTCTATGCGGTCCTGCAGGTGACAGGGACCCTCTCCTAGAAAGAGTCAGGGAGACTGGAGGGTTGTCACACAGTGTCACCACTGACATTTAAGTGGACAAGCAAAGAGGACACCCCCTACATTAATACCTGGAAATTCATTCATGCAGTCAGAATTTTCTAATCAGAAAACAAAACAGTCAACTACTCCATCTACAATAAACCAGGGATGAACACTAAGGCTCTTTTCCTCAGCAATCAGTACATAAAAGTGTTGAGGATGAAGAGAGTAGCAAAGTTCCCCACCGCTCCCTTCAACATACTTCCATGAGGTGCCCCTGAGGTAGATCCTGCTCAGAGGATACCAGTGTGTGAATATCATCTCAGGCTCCCTCACAGGAACACACAGGATGGGGCTCACACCACACTCGGGGTATTTTCACAATCTGGGAGGCTGGAAAGTGAAAGTCAATGTGTCAAGACTAACTTCCCCTGAGACCCTTCTCCTGCCAGCAGGACCCCTTCTCCCTCTTGTCCAACAGGCCACTCCTGTGGGTGGGTGCCTGTGTGGACAGATGGGGGTCCCTGGTCACTCTATACTCTCACCTATTCCCATTCCCCCTGCTGTGATGTCATTTTCCCTTAAGTGACTCTACAGCTCTATCACCAATTATGAGCAGTGAATATGGGATCAAGCCCGTCCATAGCAGACAGGCAGGACTGGCTATCTACCCACAATAGCACAGTGGGTAGGACATTTGCCTTGTAAGCGGCCAACATGCCGACCCGGGTTCGATTCCTCCACCCCTCTCAGAGAGCCCGGCAAGCTACCAAGTGTATCTCGCCCTCACAGTAAAGCCTGGAAAGCTACCAAGAGTATCTCGCCCGCACAGTAAAGCCTGGCAAGCTACCCGTGACGTATTCTATGTGTCAAACACAGTAACAATCCTCACAATGGAGACATTACTGGGCCCGCTTGAGCAAATCGATGAACAACGGGAGGACAGTGACAGTGATTTATTACATTATTTTTATTGAATCACCGATTGCACAGCGGGTAGAGTGTTTGCCTTGCTCGCGGCCAACCCGGCCCACCCAGGTTAGACTCCTCTGCCCCTCTTGGAGAGCCTGGCAAGCTACCGAGATTATCTCACCCGCACAACAGAGCCTGGCAAGCTACCCGTGACGTATTGGATACGCCAAACACAGTAACAAGTGTCATAACGGAGACGTTATTGGGACTGCTGGAGCAAATCGTTGAACAACGGGAGGACAGTGACAGTGACAGTGACTCTGAGACACACAGTGACAAAGCTGTACATGATCAAGTTTCAGTCATACACTATTACAACAGCCATCCTTCACCAATGACAACAGGATTTCAATCCCCAAAGCAGAAAATGGTGAAAATCTCGTTCCAACTCAGTCTCTAACAGTTTTCATACTTTCCCATCACACCCATAGAGCCCCTTGTGCCTGCTGACAACAGACCTGGTACTATCTCAGTAATTTCTAAGAAAAAGCATCCCCTTCTCCTTCCTTATGCGAGCTGTCTGCCATCTAGTGGTCGCTGTTTGATACAGCAACAAATAATTTTCCAGTATTGGTGATTCCTGTGATCTGGAGGCATTCAGAGAGACTTTCCTCAAGTATTTGGAATAGACAATATGAAGTTTGTCACCAAAGCTGACTGCATTGATATTTACCTGGCTAAGCCAGTTGTATTGGTACCTACAATCTCGGTGAGAAAAAATGAGATCAAGAGACACAAAGCAAACCAACAAGCATACATACAAGGACTGTCCAAGCTTGAGGGGGTCCTGGGTGGCCCCAGCGAGCTCATAGGAAGCCATTTATTCAATGCGATATAGCTCTCCCACCCTGGGTCACAACAAGTGAGTCAGTGTCTAAGTTGTCAGGGAGATTAGGACAGTTAGTGAGCACATCCACATTCAATGGGTGCATGAGGAGCAGAGGCTGGGGTGTCTCACAGGAACCTTACAGTACAAAGTCTGGACATTTCCCGATTCTATTTCTGCTAATATTGTCCTCTACAGTTCAATGATCTTAAACTGTTTTATTCTCGCTTTTCTGGGAGCTCCTGTGGTTCCATTGGGTACATTTTCCTGTGCCCAATTATAAATCTAAGACCTAAACTGCTTCACCAGGGACCATCTCACCATGGGGTTTTTGCTTAGGGGACAGTTTCCCACTAAACTATATGGGGAATACAAATTACTGCATATC